AATAGTAAAGACAGATTATTTTAGTGTAAGCCGTTTGCCACCTTAACGATGAAATTTTAGTGCTCAATTTGAAACCCACTGATCTCTCTTAGGGCAATAGATCGTAATTCAAACCAACGCACGAACGTAACAGTAGATGGAACACCAATAGCAGAACATCAGAGACTGGAAATTTAATTTATTGATATTGTTAAATCCGCTTTAAAAAATAAAAACCTCTTCTCAGCATTGTCATAACTATATAGTTATTATTTATTTATTTATTATTTACATTTATTTTTAATTAGAAACTGTACTTACTATTAATAATTTTTAACAAAATTGTCTGTTAATAACAACCTTTTTGAAAAAAAGTAGAACAGAGAATATAGATAAGTTGTTGATCGTGTCCTCCACCTTGAAGGATGCACATTTCAGCTCTTTTCACTCTTTGAAATGTTTCTTATTAAACTTCACACGACCCTTCAGCTCTTCTACGGTGTTAACTGGGGTGTTATACACCAGACCCTTAAGATGCCACCATAAGAAAAAGTCCAAATTATTTAAATCTGGTTGACTTACCTATCGGTTATTAAATATTCTGTTACTGCAACCCAAAGGTGAATAATATTTTAGCAATATTCGCCAATCCTCTTCTAAAAACCGGTGATAATTATGGCCATTTAGCCTTTCTGGCTGGTTGGTAATTTCCAACAATTCCAGCCCAAAAGATTTACCGAAATCTGTTTTTGATGTTTAAATTTATTTATTTATTTATTTATTTAGGTACACTATTCAATAGGATAAACCCAACTACAGAGCAGGGACATAAGTGATAAATAAAAAAAATGCAAATACAACGTATGCCATTCCTTAAAAAATATGTTTTAACGTCACTTACAGAAGAAGAAAATATATCAAACTGAACACTTGCCGAGTTGCACACGTCGCACATTCTGTGGATAGGAGAAAATTTTAAAATATTCGTATGCGGCGTAGAAAGGTAAAAGGTTTGATCTACTCTTGAGGTAACCCTGGAAACATCAAAGTTTAGTTTTGAAAAGGGGCCCGCATCAACAACCTGATCATGAATAATTTTGTACAAGAACACCACCGAGTGACAATCGCGGCGAGAACTTAATGTGTCCTTTTACGAAGCGAAGTATTGCTTATATCAATTGTGGGATACTTATTATCATGCTTGAAAGACAAGAGTTTCGAGAATGTTCGTACAGATTCCAGAATCCTTGAATGGACTTGGTAAAACGTACTCCATATAATATCACCGTATTCTAATTTAGATCTAACAAATGCGTAGTACAAGTTTCTAAATCAGTTAAGAATCGTGAGTTTCGTGCTATAAATCCGTACATTTTATTCGCAACAGACACAGCGGAGTCAATACGTGGCATGAAAGAAAGTTTAGGGTCAAAAGTGACACCTAGATCAACAAAAGTAGCTGGGCGCTAAAGTACGATGTCATTGATTTGATAACCATATCTGATAATATTACTTTAAAGTGAATACGTCATAACATTACATTTGATGGGATTTAACGACAAGTTATTATGGACACACCAGTATTCAATACGCTTTACATTCAATGACAGGTTTTGGCAGTCCTGAATACTATCAATTTTGCAACAACAACCTTAGATCGTCAGCGTATAACAAGCAATTAACATCAACGCTCTCTACAATGTCATCAATAAAAATATTAAATAGAAGGGGGCCTAAATTGCTGGCCTGAGGAACACCGGATATTCTACAGACTTGCGTCCACCAAAAAGATGAACACAAATTGTTTAGAGATAATGATAATCCGTAATCATTTCACTTCGAAAAAAGTATCCCATGATCAAATCTGCCAAACGCCTTCGAAAAATCGGTATAGACAACACCAGTCTGAGATCGCAAGTCTAGACGGCCCTTCCATAAAACCATGTTGCTTTGATGTTTTGATATGGTTATTGTGGGAATTTCTGATTGTATTCCTGGAAAAGTTAGCTCCAACTGTCAATAGTATAGAAAAGGGTCCCTGTTTAATGAGCCCTGTCATTGCAAATTTACATTTTATTACTCTCTCGCATTTAGGAACTAACTAGAATTAACAATATAAATGGGCATACATCACCGGTAGGTAATGAAAAAAGATAAATGATCCATAATGCGAATTAAAACTGTTGGTATGTGCTGTTAATCTATAGTGTCAACAATAATAACGATAATAGAAATATGGCGAGTGAAATGTGGGGTCGTGATAACAACAATTCAATAATTCAAAAATAGGATTTTGGGCTTTCGGAAGATGAAGTGATCAGTGATTAGGCAGTAGGAAAAATATCACTTAAATTATTACCAAGCTAATGGCGCAACAGGTATGATGAAAATGTAATGTTTCGTGCAGAACGCCGTTTCCTTCCCAATTTCTGGGGTCGGAAATCAAATTTTCTGGACACAAGTCAGAGTGTATTCCTTTTCAGTGAAAGCGCTATTTAAAAATCTTGACGGCATTACTAAATTGCGAGCTGCTTGTATGCAAGATGGTAAGTATGATAGTAAGAACCACAGCAGAAGCTGTCAACAGCTTACTTACGGCAAGGATGCGGGGGATATTGGGGCATGGCCAACCAGATAAGAATGGGACTTCAAAATATTCATTACGTGAAACGAACGAGAGTTTAGAGACCATCTGGAAACGTAGGTCGCTTAGTAACCATCCAAAAAGCCGACAAGTATCAAGGGGGTACCGTGATGGTCTGGCAGGAATCAGTTTAGGAAATCATACTGAGCTCGTTTCTGTTGAAGGATTTTTAACGGAAAATCAGTGAAAGCATTTTGGAACTTATAGTTCCACATGCAGCACATTATAATGCACCGCAATGCTCGACCAAAGACTGCTAGGACTGTAAGTACGTTTGTAGAAGAAAGCCATATTGACCATATCCTATTCAATCGCCGGAAGAAATGAGTTGCTAAATTGTTTAGCGCAATATTGGGTTTATTTCCCCAAGAGGACGTTGATAATCTCATAAGAAGCCTAAGAAACTGCAAACAACGCATTACTAAAATGTTACACCTGTTTATTTATATGTATGAAAAATAAAGTTTAAGTTTAGTTTTTAAAGAAACTTCCACAGGCTACTGTAATACTTTTTACACGTCTTCTGGATTCCTCTTGCGTCGGTTTTTGCCGAGTCGAACTTGCTGACGAAAGAGCCTCACGACTAAGACAAATAAACTCATCAGCTGTTGCCGAATACAACCACGAAACCGGACATAAAATTTTATTCGATAAAACAAAAATCCTGTATGTAATTAATTCTTCTACCAACGAAAAATCCCAAAGTCTATAGAAATCAATAAAGAACCTAACAATCTTAACCGCGACTCAGGTTTTTATTTGTAGCCAATATGGGAATCAGCCATCCGAGACGGTTTTTATATAACAATATATAAGCAGGTACATAGTAAAATGCGAGCCAGTGTCAGTCAAGCTTTGAAGAAGCCAACAGAATGATTGGCGAGACGTCAGCAAGTTCGACTCAGCGAAAACCGACGCAGGAGGGATCCAGAAGATTTGTAAAAAGTAGTAAAGTTTAATGTTTGGTGAAAATACTCATCGGGCTATTATTTTTGTACGCTGTATATTTTAACGTTTTCTTTAATTATTTGAGTACAATGAAATCATAATTGTTTCATTGACTTTTGTTTATCATTTGCAAACAACATTTAATTTCTCTTAAATGTCTAAAATAGGGGACATTCAGTTTTGATGTGCGCAAATTTAAATATTAGCTTTATTAACACACATTCTTAGAAAACTTTGAATTTTTCTCTGGTCAGCTCTTCACATCTGGAAGACTTAAATGTTAGCCACAAATGGATTTTTTCGACTCCCGTCTGTAAAACGCCTAATTACACACGGCTCTAGCGTGCGGGAAGCGTCACTTTACCACGTCAGTTTCGTTTCTCATGGATCCGAGCCACTTCGGACATTTCCGGCATTTTACCGCACGGGTTTGGCGTTGAATTTTGAAGTTTGTCAATTTTGACGGTCATGTCAGTGAATATATTCGTGTTGTTTTGCGAAAATATACTCAAAAACTAACGGTCGCAGAAATACTATAGTATGCAACACGTTCGGTAAAATTTTTAAGTCATTTGTTTATTAAACACTAGCTCCGCTGCGATCCGCTCGTGTCAATTTAACTCGCGAGTCAAATGCCGTTTTTCTATTCCCGTCTGTAAAATACCCACCGATCTAGGGTGCGAGAAGCGTCACTTTACCACGTCAGTTTCGTTTCCCATGAATCCGAGCCACTTCGGACACTTCCGAGATTTTACCGCACGGATTTGGGTGCAATCGGATGTTTTCGGAGATATTTCCCACGCTTTGAATTTTGACGTTTGTCAATTCTGACGGTCATATCAGTGAATGTATTTTAACTCACTCGTTTAGTAAAAACTCGCTCCGCTACACTCCGCTCGTGTCAAATAAACTCGTGAGTCAAATGCCGTTTACCGCACTTGTTGCATAATATACTATTAACGCACTTGTTGCATAATACAATAAACAGACGAGGTACAGAAAATCTTTTACTTACTGAAGCAATTGAAAAGCGAATCCTGGATGTGAGGCAACTATTATTTCAACTGTATCAGCGAAAGCGTTTAAAGGAAGAACGTTACCTACAAAGAACCAAAAATGCACACTCTACAGGAAAACAAACAAATCAAACCCCAACATTGGCAAAAACGCGTGGTAAAAACTTAAACTGTGATTCTGCTTATTTTGGAGAATCTATCCCTCTTTTGTCCACTTTTACTTTTTATTACACATTTATTCTATTCCATTCCAATTTAATGACGTCACTGTTGCGTAAAAACGTGCGCTATATCGTGCCTCCTAATCTGTCTGCCTCATTAATCTTACTTTAAGTTGTCTTATCGCAAAAAATGTCAACATGCGACTTCCGATAAGAGCGACAGCACGGGCGTTCTCCAGTCAGTGTCGACTTGCAGCGGGCATGGGAGACTCCAAGCAGGACCAAGTGCACCCTCAGACCACATGCGACGACGCAGGAAATGAAGAAGATCCTCCGGCGAAACCTCCAGAGCCAAAAGAAACTTTGGTGCCGAATGACGAATCGCCGACGACGGAAGAAACACCGTCGCCGCTCAGAAAAGGTTTCAAACCGAGAGGCAGGTCGCTGATACCCAGAAATAAAAAGGAACCGAAGCAGCAGTACTTTTGTGACGTACCGGCGGCATACGGAGTGGGAGCTGACGGGATGATGGTGGAATTTTTTAACAAAATCGAACTGAACGATAAGTCGTAACAGTAGGCAAGATGAGGTGCGACGTACGTGGTGACCCATAGTTAGAAATGCGAATCTGCTGACCGCGTGGTGGGATGTACGTTGTGAGGTGCGAGCTGGTATATGGTCTTGGTTTGTGACGTGATAGCGTTACCGTTTTATGGTAAGCGGCTAGCCGGCGAGTGTATTATTAAAAATTGTCGCTGAACGGATCGTATAATAATAAATATTGTAAGTACTACAGGTGTTTTTGTTATCAGCGACGATCGTTGATTATCATTTCATCATCGGTTTAAATAAACGTGGACCTTGTTCCCCTGTGGGATACACGTGTTCTTTTAACGCTGTGTCGATTTTTGAGCGCATTTTAAGAAAGAAGCTGTACACGAACGTATTTCCTAAACGTCTTCACTTTTGTGGTAATGTCCGTTCATAGATATAAGAAAGTGACTAACTGATACGAATTAAGGAAAGACCCGGGCAGGCTGTAAGAATGAAATATGGCCGAACAGGTCCGTACTTTGCTTAGAATTTAATTATTTCTTGTTTTGTTTGGAAAGATACTAAACAATATTTATTTATTTATTTATGTATTTGTTGTTTGTTTTACTCTTATCAGTTGAGTCAACCCAACCCTTTTCAAGGGTATTATAAGTGTCGAACCAAGTTTCATCCAAGTAAATAATTGGCCTTTGTTGTTCTCTGTAAATCCTAATTTTTTCTAGGTATTCCAGTCGCCATTTCCGGATTCTAAAAGATTCCATTAAAACTTGCCTTTTGTCAATGTTTTTAAATCTAAAACCCATGTGTTGAATACCATAAGTTAGTTCTGCCACATTTAACACCGGTTTCATCTTTTTCAAGCCTCCTAATTAAGATACCTAATGTAGGCACGCTTTGTTCTTCGTATAACTGGTAAATTTTACGCCGTATTATATCTTTATCACTTTCATCTACACTCGAGATAATGTCAGCATCGCTTCTTTTTTTCCTCGCTGAAATGGGATTATTTACAATTTTCCATACAGTTGATGTTGGAATTTTCGTCAATGTGGCCGTTTCCTCTAGAGATGCTTGCTTGCTGGCACCACGTCCAATGAGAGTCAAATAAACATTGTTTATAACTTCCCTAGTCTCAATAGAATAGTGTTTTCTCATTTGGGCGGGATATACACACTAAACTCGCACATATTTTGCATAATTCGCACACGATTCAACACACGCTGTATTACACACGAAATAAGAATGATTACTAATAAACTTAAACTAAGTAGTATACCAAACCAACGAATATTAAACACAGGTGGGTATAAAATTATTTTCTATTACTATTCTATTATTTTCTATTCTATTATTTTCTAAACTTTAGGTAATAATCTTGTTGCATTGTATGTTAATGACCACCCTTGGATAATCCCATTCAAAAGCAATTGGTCATTTTCTTATTTCTATTAACAGACTTTACTGGGTTATTCGTTATATTTTGACACGCACCTACAGGGCTAATTTCCAAAGATTCAAAAAAAAGTGTAAATACAAAAGTTTGAAGATTTGTGCTCTATTATCTTATGCAAATATTAGAAATAACAAACGACTATCGCAAGCTGTCAAAATGACAACGACATATATTTTTTTAATGGAATGCCCTATATATTACTAGCGTAGATCTTTTTTCCTGATTTCAAAAACATATAGTTTATTAATATTTCAGTTACCCGTTTTTGAGATATTTCAGTTTACAAATAATTATTTAATTTCTGGACAATAACCAGATTTTTTAAAAATGGTCGAGTCTGCCTTGATAGCAACCATATTATCTATGTTTGCAATTGTTTTAAAAATTTTTTGCTTTTCACCACTACCCAAAACTAAAGATCTGCAGCGTAAGTTAAAATCACTTAAGATATTTCAAATGGGTTATACTCCGGAAGAAAAACGCCAAATAATACTACAGCGATTAAAAAAAAAATATCTCCGCTTTCATTGATCGTATCAACTCTTTTTATTTCTAAATATTATTTCTACATCTCCAGTTATCGGCATTTGAATCTCATCATTTTCCGATGAAATATTCTATTTGTTTATAACAAAACAATTTATAATTGATGTTTCTTAATTTTCTTTTTTGATATTGCTGGAATAAATGTTGAACTTTCGATTAGTAGGATTGTTTGAAATCAACAATTAAGTAAAAAACCTAAAACGTTATTAAACAAATGAATTGCGAAAAAAATGTATTTACTTACATTTTCGGGATTTCTTTTATAATCCAACAAGGGTGTGAACTCTTTTAAATATGTTCTGTTATTGTTTAGATGGTTTTTCCACATAACTTTTTGTAGGTATTATCAAGTTACACGACTTCTTTCTTAATCAGCTTCAACTACACATAAATAGTTGGCCAACTTCTTCTTGAATGTCGGGGAAGGGAGTGTTCCCGACATCGTACCTGGGGAAGCTGTCAACAATCGTATTCTTGAATGCCTAGGAGCGTGTACACTCTTGCAGCATACGCAGTCTCAATGTAAAAGAATTTGTTTCAAAGTTTTAAACCCGAATAATGGACGAAGAAGTTACAATATAACCTTACATTTTGGTTTGGTGTTATTCGTCCTTCGCCCCATCCCTTTGGGGTTACTGTTAAGAACGATAATCGTGTTGGAACAGCAATATGCGGAGTAACTACAGTGCATATTAACGCGAAACGAAAGAGGTATATCTTGGTTAAAAATTCTCTGCTTTTATAACAAGAGCATGCGTCAATTGTCAAAACCCGCATATCTTTGACTCAAGTACTTGTAATTTTGGTAAACATCGATCGAACATAAATCTATTTCAACAGTTTGATAAATTTGCGTCAATTCCATGTGATTGTGACGCAGAAGAATCGTACTCTTGATTGACGATCTTTTAGTTCTTTATATCAAGGAATTAGTACTCTTTGCTTTGCTACGCAGAGGGTGAACGCGTACGTTGATATATTTTTTATTGCTGTTAAGAATATTTTTTCTTCAGCTGGTTCATGTACGTTAATTCTTATATTACAACAAATGCAGCACACCAATTTATTGATATTGTTACATTTTTATGTTCTACTGTTTCAATTCAAACCCAGGATAATATTATTTACATTTATTCAAAACAGAAAAGTCTACAAACATATTTTTCTGATATAATTTATTAATTAAATGAATTAAATTAAATTAATTTATTACAATTTGCGTAATCAAATCGATTTGATCCTACGTTAAAGGTTTGAGGATCTCTATGCCATCAATCTTTTCATCTGTCAATAAAATCAAAGAATCAGATATTATAATGTTGATTATATATTATACAGATTCCTTTCTACCACTTCTGGAAGTTTTTGTATTAAAATCATGTCAAAAACAATCATTTCTAAGATCGCTTTTTCGGAAAAATATGCAGAATTAGCATTACCAATTTTGCATCTGATAATTTCTAGCAATTATTTATTGGATGTATATAATTCACGTTTGTATCTAGTTATGTGTAGAAAAATTAAATTTTCTATACGAAGATAATTTATGCTATATTGCAGGAAAAAATATCTGAATAATGAAAGTGTCTTTAAAATTGCTTTGCAATAAAATGAAATAAAAAATTTACTTATTAAAATCACAAGTACAAATGATTATGCTGTTCTCATAAAACGTAGGGTTTCATCTCAAAATTTCTGTTGTTTTTATAGAAGTGTGATGAAATAATTACAAATTAATGTTTCTTTTTATCAAGAGTATCGAATCTAGAGAAACAAATTCTCCATTTTTCTTTTTGATAAACGGCATGGACGACGCTAGCTCATGAAAACTCAATAGTAAATATGAAAAAACTATGATATTTTGTTTTACATATACCCTTTAAATCAGAAGTAGTTTTGTTTACCCGCGTTTTATATACCTCCTCCCTCCTAGCACTTCGATATTGACACTAAAACTGAATTCTTCAGGTATTGCGAGTACTCCTCCAGCTTGCTTCCAAGAATCCGGAAAAACCCCGGTCAGCAGGTACTTGTTATTGTCTGAGCCATTAGCGTTAGCTTTAATACTAATCAAAGTTTTATTAACTTCCTCAGGGTAAACGGAATTAATTAAGAGCAAATTGTTTATTAATATAATTTGTAGACACAAACCCCGGATCAACACCACCAATAGCTCCAAAAGAAGTAAAAGCAACATTAAAACTATTGAGAGTAGTTGAAAATCTAAAATAAGCGGAAGTATTAGTTTTTAACAGATCAACGTTGAAATCTCCGCCAGACGTCACAAAATAAAATTGAGGAATAAGTGCGGACGTTTTCCAGAGAGTCAAGACATTCAAGTAAGTTAAATGTTGGAGGTCTATAAACTGGTCCTAGGCACATGTACACACGATATATTCATAGCTTTAACTTTAAACTGCTTTAATAGAGCTTGGGTGGTGGTGAGTGACTCAAAATAATGAGATAATTGAGAATACATAATTTTGGGATAATTGACACGGATATATTCCAGTGAGGAAACACCTATTTATTATGTCAGTTAGTGGTAAAACTATTACATTCTTTAATAATCCTACTGTTCAAACGATAAAAGAATTATTCAAAGACATTATGACCTGCTCGACTAAAAAAACCAGCAAAAACTTTAATGAACGTTTATGTTTAATCAAGTTATACATCAACTCAGATAGCCTAGCAGGAGTTTCGTCCAAAGTTTTTAATATTTAATGCGCTATTGTAGTAAAAAACATGTTGAGTTTGTCAGGGCATCAATTTTTCGTTAAATTATATTTACCTGTGCTACACGTCTCGGTGTTAATTAATTTCCAAGAATCTTTGCTCTTATTTTTTGATAACTGTAAATAGTTTAACAAAAAACCTTAAGAAAACCGTTACCGTGCAAATATCACATTTTGAGGTTAGAACCTTACCGACATCTAGCGTTCTCTTGAGTGGAACGCGGATAACTTTACCGTCACATTTTCAAGAATACGATTTCACCGTTTTACAAAATACAAGGATAAGGGCAAGAAAAGCGCGAATCATCCTGTATAGGAGATCAGTTGTCACACGAGCGACTATAATGGCAAGCTTCATTGCCGATAACAAAAGCTTAAATTCGCACCGAATATAACTACTTCACCAGTCACGTGAATTCTGGA